AGTTGTCCTGTTTTTGTTTTGTTTTGTTTGATTGTTTTGTTTTTGTTTTTTGGCCCAGCATGCTGTGCACTGCTATAAATATTTCATGGGTGCTTGAAAAGTATTTGTATTTTCCTTTCTTAGGTAGAATGTTCTAGAAGTGTTCATTAGATCTTGTTGGTTGATGGTTGTTCAGTTCTTTTATATCTTTGCTGATTTTTTGTTTTTGTCTAGTACTTCTATCAGTTGCTCAGAAGGAAATATTTGTCTCTTCTTTTAGCTTTATCAGCTTTTGTTTTGTGTATCTTGAAACTGTTTTGTTTAGTGCATACACATTTAGGATCACTATGTTTTCTTGGTGGATTGATCATTTTATCATTTTGTAATATCCCTCTTTGTCCCTAAATTTTTTGCTCTGAAGTCTTAGTTATCCAGTATTAATAGAGCCATTCCTCTTTTTAATGTTTTCATGATACCTCATTTTTCATCCTTTTATTTTCAATCTGTCTATTTCATCATGTTTGAAGTGAGTTTCTTGTAGACAGCAAAAAGTTGGGTCCAATCTGTGAATGTCTGTCTTTTAGCTGGTGAATTTAGACCATTTATATTTAAAGTAATTAAGGGACCAGATTATTTCTGACTCATGGGATTCCTCTTACATCCTTAATCATTCAGCAATAACCACAAACACAAGTCAAATGAATTTCTTCTTCTTGTTTGAGAGAAGGGTTTCCCAAAAGTGAGCATTCCAAGATGCCACTATGGAAGCTGCAAGGCTTCTTAAGACCTAGCCTCAGGTCTTCAGTCCCAGAATCCTACCTCCACTGCATTCCATTGGTCACACAGAGCCAACCCAAATTCAGTGTGGCAAGTGACTGCACAGGGGCAGGAATTCCAGGAGGGAGGGGAGGATCATTGGAGGCCATAGTGGAGACTGGCTACCACTACCCTAATTCACATGCTAGAGTTGCAATCAGAGTCATGGGCTGTAACTCAGACCCTGTCACCTAGCTCATCACTCTGGGACTTGGGTTTCTCATATGTAAATTGAGATTGAACTAGATGACCACTTATGTCCCTTCCAACTCTATGATTATCTGTTTCTCGGAATATCTTTATATCTTTGCCCCTCAGCTTTATTGAGGTTTAGTTAACTGATTAAAATTGTACATATTTAAGGTGTACAACCTGATGATTTGATATACATGTACATTGTGAAATATTCACATTCAAGCTACTTAACAATCCATCACCTCACATAGTTGCCATTTTCTTTCTTTTGTTGTCAAATGTAATTCTTGATATGTTTATGAGCACATTACCATTTTACCACAGTAGAAAAGGAAAGACTTAACTCACTGTTCGGTAATCTCTGGACTTCTGTACAGCTCAGTTTGGCAAACTAAAGCAGTTACCATTGGTTCCAGAAGCAGCCAGTATCCAATATTAGAGTGTCTATAGATTATCATAGGTATAGCCAGCCCTGGGTGAATGATCTGGATAATTAAGCTAGAAACCTTATTCCAATCAAGTAATAGCAAAAGAACTTAACATTAGGCAGACTGTTTCACAGAACTCTTCCTTTGGGGGGTGGGGGAGGGAGATCTGCCAGTTAGGGCTTCCCTCCCCCCCACCTCCCGATTTGTATATGTTTGATTTTAAAGGAAATTGATCAGATTTTAGTTCAGTTGTTTATTCATTGCTATAATCTGAACCTTAAGCCTCCCCTGATTTTCATTTTACCTGAATAACTTCCTCAAAAAATTGTAATTTGTTTTAAAAATAAGACATTAGCCAAGAGACATATGAGAAAATGCTCAAAGTCCCTAATCATCAGAGAGATGCAAATTAAAACCACAATGAGGTATCACTTCATACCTGTCAGAATGGGGACCCTGGTACACTGCTGGTGGGAATGCAGACTGGTGCAGCCACTATGGAAAACAGTATGGAGGTTCCGCAAAAAATTAAAAATGGAGCTGCCTTTTGACCCAGTGATCCCACTTCTAGGAATATATCCTAAGAATCCTGAAACACTAACCAGAAAGAATATATGCACCCCTATGTTCATAGCAGCACAATTTACAATAGCTAAGATCTGGAAACAGCCCAAGTGCCCATCAGTAGATGAGTGGATAAAAAAACTGTGGGACATTTACACCATGGAATACTACGCAGCTGTAAAGAAGAAGGATCTCGTACCCTTTGGGACAGTATGAGTGGACCTGGAGAATATTATGCTAAATGAAATAAGCCAGGCAGAGAAAGACAAACATCACATGATCTCACTTATATGTGGAATCTAAAGAACTTAATAAACTGATAAACAGAATAGATTCAATGACATGGAAGCATGGATCAGACTGACGAATGTCAGAGGGATGGAGGAGGGCAGGTGGGTGGAGGGGGAGAGAGTAACCGAAGAATTTATATGTGTATATGTACAACCCAAGGACATGGACAGAGGTGTGGAGGGGGACTGGGGAGAGGGATGGGATGGGGTGGAATGGGTCATTGGGGAGAAAAAGGCACATTTGTAATATTTTAAACAAAACAAAACAAAAAAATAAGACATTAGTAGGACTGCATCCTGTCGTGTTCCCCTAAGGTTCCTTGTACCTCCCAATTTATGTCAAGATCCTGATTTAACCTTAGTCTTGTAATAGTCAACATTTTAAACAGAGGCACCATTCATTTGAGTGACTTTCTCCCAAAGGGAACACTTTGAAAGGTAATACTCATTTAGCGTAGTGAAGCTATTTTGAGGGTGTCTTTACTATATAATCATACCTTATATACTGTCTTTCAAAATTATTCCTGACAGTTGTAATTCATTGTTACAAGGTAAAGTATATGATTTATGGCCTTGGTAGAGATGTGGTTTATGGGTTCCAAATCATTGTCATCAGTATACTGGAAGCCTTTGGCTCCCTGTGGCATGGTCGTATAGAAGCAGTGTCAAATGTTTATTTTTATGTTTATACTCCTATACTGGATTGGGGATGGAGACCTTCTCTTTTTCATTTTTGTATCCCCTGTACCTGGCATCCTTCAGCAATATAGTAAGCTTATTGAATTGGAGCTGGTGTACAGGAAAGACTGAACTTTGGCCCCACGTAGCTCAGAGTCCCATTTTGCTAAACTATTTGATGATTCTTGCTCTGTAAGAATGGATAAAATAATAATGAATAGAAGTTATTTTGGATAGCATTGTTTAAAGTTTTTATCAGTGACAACTTAACTAAAGCTTTTTAAAAAGTTTACAAGTATACATTTTGGCTTATCATGTGTTTGACCTAATTATTTCTATTTGTGACATCTTGTTTAATTTCTATAAGCTATTCTCAAAGGAAGTCCATAGGGAAGGAAATATGAATGGCTTACCCAACGAAATGTGCCTGCCACTGATTTTTCACATGTATTCAAACTAACCAGATAACAAAAATAATTTAGTGGCAGCAATTAAATATCTAGGCATAGTATGCCTAGCTATAAAGTAAAGTCATGATTCTACATTTGCAGTTTTCAACCTGTGCCTTATTAGTAAAAGAATTACAAGTTCAGCAATAGATTTTTACCTGAGAACTTGTGGACAGTGAGCATCCTTGTATATTATAATTCTGATGTTTTTACAGTGTGCGCTATGACAGAACTGTTGGGGAAAGGAAGAAGGTACTGGGACTTATTAAAGTTTCTGTTAAAATACAGTATAATTACCATTAAATTATATCTTTTTTAATTTATATGAGCTAGGTAATAAAGCTTCTTAGTAGAAGTTCAGATTTTGTACCCATTTAACCAAAGGTATTTTTTATCAAACATGAGTTTCATCTTTTTTGTTTTGTTTTGTTTTGTTAATCCTCTCCGATGGGTATTTTCCATTGATTTTTAGAGAGAGTGGGAGGGAAGGGGGTGGAGAGAGAGAAACATCAGTGTGAGAGAGACACATCAATTAGTTGCCTCCCTCACTCACCAGCTGGGCTAGGGATCAACCTTGCAACCCAGGTGTGTGCCCTTGACCAGAATCGAGCCTGAGATCCTTCGGTGTGCAGCCCAACGCTCTAACCATTGAGACACATTGGCCAGGGCCAAACATGAATTTTTGGAAGTAAATGCTTACATGATCTTTGTGTCTTTTTCTGAGAGTAGTTTAAGGAAGTAAAAACTTATTTGAGGTCCAACATCTGAAACTAACTTATTTACCCTCTTATTGATTGGGTTTCCAGGTCATTGATTTGATTTTTCTTTTATGATTTTATATGTTACAGCCCAGCTTTGAATGACTTGAAGTCCAGAAATATCTGCTGGAATAAATATTCCTGTGTTTAATTCTGTAGTGTCTATCTTCAGGAAGAATAGGCAGGAATTCAGATTCAGAGGGGTGCCAGGTTGGTAATTTGGCTCAAACTACATGGGGAGAGTAATCTGTCTCCTAAAATGAAGCACAAGGATAAGTAATAACTTTTTATGCATGATAAGCATCAAAAATATGAACCTGCTGGTCTTTGCTTTTCATTTTTCTTTACCTCTGTCTTTCAGTGAGAACCTCCTGCAGTGTGCACACGACGTGATCAATAACTCAATAACTTTTTTCATGCAGTAATTATCTCCATGTGATATTATCTGAACACTGTTTTTCTTTATTACTCAAAAGATGCAGGAGATATTTATATAACCAGCTGATCCCATTTTGGATAAAGGTGCTTTGTGACAGCAGGAGAAATAGTTTATTTTAAATAGCCTTTTTAAATAAATGCTGTATGAAAAGCTTTTCCAGTTAATTTTCACTTAGCACAAAAAGATGATTACCAAAAAGGTTTAGATCTAAAACTTGTACTTTGTATATTTTATAGTATGATAGTCATTCTAACTTCTAATAGCACAATTTAAAATATTGAACTATTTTACATATCCATGATTTTTTTCAGATTCCTCTATATCACTTTAGATATTTACAGAGGTATAAGCTAAACACGTAAGTTCTATCATTTCTGGATGTCTCACAGAGATTCTTATTATAGGCAGAGATCCTGCAAGAGTCCCGGATGATGATCCCAGATTGCCAGCGCAGGTTGGAAGCTGCATATACCGATCTTCTGCAGATATTAGTAAGTAAAGACTTCTGTCTTTTGTTTAAAATTTTTTTCAACCTAATACATAAAAAGCCAAAATTTTAAATATTTTACACTGAAAACTAGTTGGTGACATATTTTTTTCACTTACTCTATGTACCAGTATATTTTAAAATAATTAATGGAGTTTAAATTGTGCTTACCTTATGCCTCCAGTGAAAGTACTATGTCTGATATGTTTATTCTATTTATTTAAAGTTAAATATATTTGCATTAATATCTAACACAGTAGATATTTATGGTACAAATTATGTTCCCCAACATCTTGAATTATTTGTTTTTACATAAAGATCTTTTTTCACATATTGTTTGAAATTTTAGAAGATCCAAATGTTTCAGATGAATTTGGACCATAATAAAAAGGATCTGGAATTCTTTCAGATTCAAACCTAAATTAATTTGGGAGAAAAACAAACCTTGTAATATAGGCAGAACTCTTCTCATATTAACTTGGAGCTGGATAACGTTGTTATACTTGCTTTATAAATGCCTTGTGATACAGTGGCAGATTCATTTTATAAATAATTCTGAGCCTAATTAAAATTCATCTTATTTCTTTCCCAATAGAGATAAAAGTATAATACTATATACAAGCCAGTTGTTACTGTTGTTTGGTAATAAGATCTCATATTTCTGTTTCTTGAGCTACTGTTGATTACTAGCTACATGGCTCCCTCCTGATTCATAGTTGTTCCCTGTATAACAAAGATAATGTGAGGCTTTTTCCGGGTAGTAATACGTATTCTTTGAAAGAGAATGAGATTTGTTTTCCCACCAAAATAGTATTAGAACTAAATCTATAGAAAGAAATATTTCATTTTGACACAGAACTACGTATTTACCTATAGGAACCTTTTGAAGGCAGGATAACTTTCCTTAACAGCCAAAAATGAAACTGTGATTTTGAAATAAAAGATAGATGAAAGCAGGAAATAATTACTGTATTAAAATAGTCCCAGAGACAGAAGCACCATCTGTATTTCCTGACAATTTAAATGATTTTTCTCTCTCATGAATTTAGTAGCTGAAAAAGTAATAGAAGTTGCTTGAAGAAAATAGTATTGTCTTTGGATGATATATATTCGAGGATGTATTCAACAATATTTCTACCCTCAAAGAGCTTATATTTACTGACAGAGCAAAGACATGTTTAGGTGTAATATAGAGGTTTAAGAAATTCTAGCTATAGCCTGAATTAAGCATATTTTTACTCCTTTTGCTTTAAGTTTTATATCAAATAAACACACACTTTATTCTCTCTGATCTGTAACTACTTGTATACATCTCCATCTTTTATTGACCTCACATGAATTACTGACCATAGCTTTATTTATTACAAACCAAGCAAAATTTCCTATGCTTAATAACTTACGTGATATTTTCATTTGTTAGGAATCGCTATCGTATATTAGTGAAAGTTTTCTGTATAAAGTATCAAGGAAAATTTCAGTCTTTATATATCAGAAAAGGAAAGCTAGTATTTTTTGTTTCCTTGTAGTAGGCTACATAATGCTCATTAATGAGCAGGCAGTTCGGTTTTCTAATTCAAAAATTGTACTTAACTCTGGTGTGACACCAGTAGTCTTCTTTGTCACTATAAGTAGTTGAAGGGTTATTTTGGCTTAAATTTTATCATATATGTAACATGTTAATAAATCATCATTTTTTTACTTTTAGTCCATAATTAAAATAATCCCTTTTGTGTTGTGATGTGTTGACAAAATAATAATGAATTGTTTAAAATTTTTCTTAAGTTTTTATTCAGTTAATGTCAATAGCTTTACATGATCATGTCTTTCACTTATAAGAATACATAGTGAAACCAAACTAAACTTATTTCTTCTCTTACCTGTAAAATGAGGCTTGGGATCCTTTTTCTTTTAACTTTTGAGCTGTTTACATTGATTGTTTGTAATATTTGAGTAAAAATAAAGTACTAAGTTTGAGAAAGATAAATTTTCTTTTATTATTTTTCATTTCAGGAGAATGAAAAAGAGTTGGAAGAAGCTGAGGAATATAAAGAAGCACGTTTAGTACTGGATTCAGTGAAGTTAGAAGTCTGAAGCTTTTCTGTACTTTTCTGAAGCTTTTTGCAATTAATTCTGGGATTCATTCCACAATTTCTTATTTTTGACGACTGTTGTGTGTTTAAGTAGTGTGAGAATATGATTCTTTTTATGCAATTGCATATATTTTTCTTTGCCTAATTTAATGTGTCAAATAAATGAATTCGTCTAATAAAATTGTTTATTTTATACTTTTTTACAAAATATTTTAATTAACCTTTCATTATTAAATCATAGACATTTTTGACAGAGAATTAAAATCTGTTAGATTCTATTTGAAGCCTAAATATTTTGCTTCACAAGCACGGTTTGAGTTAAAAACAGGTATCGATACCGTTTAATTTTTTTAGATAAAAATTAAATTTTTTTTAAAAATTTTATTATTTTTATTCACTGTTGTACCTATAACAATGCCTGGCACAGGAAAAAGAAGTAGAAATAACACATATTTTAAAAAGAAATAATACATATTTGGTGAATAAATGCATGAACTAACATCAGTATGAGTCCTGATTTTCTTCAACATACAAAAATCCAAATTTTGAGCAGTTTATTCTGAATAGGGTACATCTCCCTGATAAGAAAAGAAGAACCTCTCTGTGGATGAGACCTCACATACTGATGCCTTCACAGTTAAAGCCTAACATTTTCATTATTATAAGCTAATGGGAAGTATTTAAGTTTTTTTCCAGAAAGACAGATTTATACAGAAAATACCAACCATTTACATCTTCCAATAAGATTCCTATGAACAATAAAGAATTGAATTGTATTTTAAAGGAATAATGGTTATTGCCCGTTGGTCTGCTGGGAAATGTTTAATGGCTCTTCAAGGTGGGAAAGGAACTTCTCAGTTGTAGCTTTTGCTGTTTGTAGTATAAATTCTACCACTGTGACCCGATTTCAAGCTACTAATGTGACCTCACTGAACAGAGTTGGGAAGATAGGAGCCAGCTCCAAAATGCACTGGCCATAGCTACACCTGGGTTATCTTTGATTAACTGGAAAATGACGATGCTTTATCACAAGGTAGTTTTTCAGTACAATTATAAACTCATTACCTAACCATTGGAGTTTATTTTCCAAAAGTATATGACAACTCATTTAGTTTTCTTCTGTTTCTAGAAAATATGTCTGAGCCTTATATCGCCCGCCTAACACAAGCAGCGATCTCACGAACCAAAATAGTAGTAATAGCATTTAAACTTTAAAACTGGTAATTGAAAAAATAGTAAACTTGAATTTTTGCAGCTATAAAATACATATTTAGAGAGTGGTTGGTCTGATTTTGGAAGCTGCAAATGATCACTAGAAATCAGAACTTTTATCAAATATGTCAGATATTAAAGAAGAGGAAAATTATTCTTTCCTAGTGTTATTTATAAAGCACAGAATGTCACAGAATCTTTATACACGCAGGAAATTACTTCCTCGAACAATAACACATCAGAAGCATTTCTAAACTGAAGCGTCACCATCTTAAAGCATATTACCTGCCATTTGAAAAGTGTTTAGCGGGGAGGAGAGCGAGGCAATAAAAACTAATTACAGTGTAAAATTTATTCTAAGGTTCAATATTAGAGATTTGAGTACCAGGAGAATGGAAAAATATTTTGTAGATAGAATTATTAAGCACCTGGATAGGTTGGCTTTTTTTTAATACTTCGCTTTCCAAATAGGATATCATTTTTAAAAAGTATTGAGTGTTTTTATAATGTAGACTATCATTTCAGTCTTTTGCCAAATACATAAATATTATATACAGTCATAGCAAATGGTTTCCGACCAATTAAAGCTTGAAGAGAACATACCATTAAATACATATATATATCTCCCTAAAAATAAGAGTAAAGTAATACTGAAGGAAGTTTTGTAGCCAGGACCTGAGTCTTGTTTATTTTCCTGCCAAAAGCAAGGTAGATAAAAATGTGTATATAGATATAGATATATAGATATATCGCTTTATACAATTTCCATCTCAACTATAGATTTTATACTGGATCTCTCTTAAAGGTGCTAATGAGAAGCAGTAAGAAGCTTACCATTCTGTGAAGGCTTATTCCTGAGAATTTCTGACACAAGAGGCACATGAAATTAAGAACAGTTACTGTAAGTAATTCAGCATTAACTTGTTTTTTAAGCTTTTACTTAAAACCTCACATCTGTGTAACAATAGGTAGAAATTTCCAAAGGTAATGTTGCCTTTTTCTCCCTACTGCCAACACCTGACCCCCAACCAACACAGGGCAGTTACTAAGTAAACATCATAGAATAAGTGAAAAGCAAGAACATCTAACTTCTGGAGTGAGAAAAGAATGCTATGAAGGATTCCATCACATCACAAACACAATACAGAGCTTTTCAAACTGTTTAGACCACAAACCACAGTAAGAGACATATTTTCCATTGTGACCCAGTACATACTTATGAGGGTCTATATATACATAAAACAGTAAGTGTCCTCAATATGTACAATTCCTCAGATGTTTATTCTGGGGTTTTTTTTAGTAGTGATCATGACCACCTGCTATTGGGCTGTGAAAAACACTACCCTGATACACTTATAAAATGATTATAAAAATTCTCTCCATCTAGAAAACTTTTGAGGTGTCAGAGCAGTTGTGTAAGAGAGTGTGTACAAAGTTATAGACATTGTTCGTATAAAGTGTCATGGTGAAGTATAATCACTTAACATTTCTTAGGTGTCCTTAGCCCTTGCACAGACTAATATAAGAGCTTCCATAGAGGAGATAGGCAAAACAAAGACATCCCAGTGATAGTATCAACTACTAAGCCTAACTTTGTTCTATAGTTTTTTTGTACAGCAAAGGCCACATTTCTAAGTAAGAAAGTTTATAGGATAAATAGAAACATAACACGTGGATTAGTAAAGTCACCAAGTCTAGGCTGGTTTAAATGCTGTTAGGAGCATTCCCAAGTTCTAGAATTTCACTTGGACATTCTTTGGCTAATGGGGATTCAGTTCCAGTAAATCAAAGTACTCCCCGCAAAGGCCTGGACAGCAGCTCTCAGGCTGGGCTTTTGGGACATTTGCTTTCTGGAGAGGTATTAACATTCTAAGAACTAGGTTGTCCTTCCTTAATCCTATTTTGTACCAGGTGGGTAAGTCATGTAAACAGTTCCTTGGGAAGGAATGAGATGAGTAATGAAAGCTGGTTAAAACATTATATTGTAATGTCCATTTAACATTTCTTGACTTTCTGGTCAGGATCATTCAAAGCCTAATATTTGAAAATTGTCTCTATGCCTATACCTTTGTATTGAATCACTTCCAAATTGAGTAGTCAAACCTGGTTAATCTAAATTACTTTGCAAACTTCATTACATTACTTGGCTTTTAAAAAATCCTATCAAATTTAATAAGGACATATTCTACAGCTGATTATCACTTAAATCTTATTATTTGGTCATTTAGATAAACCAAGGACAAATTAATCCTTTCTTTGATGACAAGTCAGGCCTTTAAATGTCAGTGTAAACTTGACATGCATGTGAGCAAGAGCTGCTAAGCATTTGGCATGAAAGGGTTAATCAGATAATTTAGTCCTTGATACCCTTTCGAGTGCTTTAGCTGGAAAGAAATTGAATGGTGTAGAAATGGTGCACTATGAAACAAGTTATGAGTATTAGTGTACTTGAAATTTTCAAGAGTGCTTCATATAAATCTACATTCCACTCCACTGTTAGCCTTGCTGCTCTTATGAGAGGTATTTGTTCATGTATTGGAATGTTGCACAGAAAGGTAAAATTATTTATGTTACAGTAGATCTGCACCTTTGTTTTGTGCTCTCTGTTGACTGCTGGATAGTTGACGAGGTACATATATGTCACAAGAGGTTAATCTTTTTAATGCACAAAGAGCCCTTTCAAATTAATCAGAATAAAAACCCCACTATATAAAAAAAAATAGACAAAACATAGAAATACACAGTTCACAAGAAATGCAGATTGATAGTTTTTAAAAGTTTTCACTTCAGTAATCAAATTCAAATTTTTAAATGAAGCAAAATTTTTGTTTTTATTTCTTAATTTCTTGATGTGAGAGAGAAACATCAGCTTGTTCTACCCATTGATGCCTCATTGGTTAGTTCTTGCCTGTGTCCTGTTGGGGGATTCAGCCCACAACCTTGGCATATTGGGACGATATTCCAACCAACTGACCTGCCTGACCAGGACATGAAGCAGAATTTTTTTTAAAGATGAATACCTGTTGGCTGTGTGGTAAAGTACTAGTCAGTGAGACTAACGGATAAAATGAAAATATTGGAAAAAGAGGTGTTTTCATACCCAGTTGATAAGATATGTATCAGGAAAACACGCATGAGTCAGCCATCCTTAAAATACTTAGAAGCAATGAGGAAATTAAAGTGGGTAGTTGCTAAATGAATATATAGAATTGTTACGGATTGAATTATGTTCCCCCAAAAGGTATGTTGAAATCCCCACCCCCACTTCCTATGGAATATGACCTTACTTAGAAAGAGGGCCCTTGCAGATACTGGTTAAGATGAAGTCCTGCTAGAGTAGGGTAGGCCCTAATCTAATATGCCTGACATCCTGATAGACAGTGTGAAAACAGGGAGAAGGCCATATGACAACAGGCAGGGTTGGTGTTACGCAGCTGCAGGCCAAGGATACCAAGGTGACAGTAGGAGGTAAGAAAAGGCACAGGACAGATTCTCCCTTAGACCTCTTGAGAGTATGGCTCTGCCAAAACCTTGATTTCAGACTTTTAGCCTCCAGGACTGTGAGACAATACATTTCTGTTTTTTTAAGCCACTTAGTTTGCATTACTTTGTTAAAGCAATCATAGAAATATGTATAATCCAAAAGCTTTTCTATATGTCAGCAATAACCAAATATAATGGGAAAATAAACTCCTGCTGTGAGTTCTAGAAGACATTTTAAAAAATGACTTGTACTATTTATGGAAAGTTACAGCACAGCTCCCATTTCAAAGCTTAGGGTGAGTGTTTCTGATTAGTAGAGTCTTGGGCTCATGCCCTTCCCTTTGGCAAGTGAGGCAGGGAAAGCAAGCATTTGACATTTTATAGCTTCTATCATGCAAGGCTCTGCCCCTGTCCCAGTGGTGGGTACATGGGGGACGGTATTCAGATGCCAAGAAAACAAAAGATATGGATGGTACGAGTTTTAAGACAGGAAGAGGGTTATCTGGGACATTTTAGGAATGAGGTGGAGGGTGAGCCTGGAAGGCTGGTGGGGTAAGTAGGGATGGTGAGCAGTTCTGGCAGTGCTGCT